GGATAATTTTATTGTATTTAACTGAAACTAAACGATTTACAAATTTGAAACATGAATATAGATTTTCTATTTCACATTAAAAGTAAATCAATAAAGCAAATAAAACTATTTTGACCCAATTTTTAAAAATTATTTTCAACGATTTTTCAGTTTTTTTTTTAACTTTTAAACATTTTAATGAGAATAAAAGCGATAAAACATTTGCGTATTCGATAAGAAAGCAATAAAATTGGGGAAATTATTGAAAAATCGTCGTTTTTCGTTACGAAAACGCACAATGAAGCAGTCTGTTTTTACGCATGAAAATGAAGACGTTTTGAAATCGTAGTGTTGAAAATGATTCACCTGCAGGTGCGTGCACTAAACTAATTTACCAAACTTGTTTTTTCACTAATTATACTTTAAATTACCTTAGTTTTCATCTAATGCTTATAAATAAATAGTGATTGGATGAAAATAGACTGCATTGTGTTCGCAATAAATGAATCGACCGGAATCAGATCATAATTCTTTTACACTCTTTTTTCTCTCGTTTTCAGTACATAAGTGATTCGCAATTCGTAAAGCCAATAAAGGAGACGGTGAAATTGATGTCGAAATACGTTCCGGTCTACTTCTACGAGTTCTCGTACGAGGGACGGGTAGGACTTAGGGCAATAAATACCTACAAACCCATTAAGAGCGATGTGAGATACGTTGAAGGTAAAAAAAAATAGAAATTTGTAGAGCAAAGAACAACGTAAATACATGTTTCTTATAGGAGTTGGACACTCGGAAGAAATGTGGTATCTGTGGAAGATGGCCAATTTAACAGCAGACAATTATTACGATGCTAAGAAGACGGACGTCTTCACCGAGCTGTGGACTAATTTCGCTAAAAACGGGTACGTTTTTAATTAATAAATTGAAATTATTATATTTTTTGTGTGTGTGTTTGTAGAGCACCGACGCCGTCTTCGATCGTCGATCCTGCCCTGGGCAATCTCAGTTGGCCCGCGTCCAATTCTGGAAACGATTTCAAATACATGGATATCGGCGACGAACTCAACGTCCTGGATAAACCGCGGCAGGAGGCGATGGACTTTTGGGATGATCTGTACGAAACGTACGGAGTTCCACCGTTCAAAACTTACTAACCGCATATGAACACATATATTTTATTCACATATTGTTGTGATACAATTACTTAAATTATAAGTATCAATAGTGAAATTAGTTCCTAATCGAAATTTGTAAATAAATAATTTAGTTACAATAAAATACTAAATACATTGTTTTTTTAATTCATTGATTAACAAATTACATCAACAAATTTATTAGAATATAGTGAAATTAGTTCGTAGATCATATTGTAAGTTGTCTAATTTCAATTTCAAAGTTAGTAAATTAATGTTGAAAATTTACAAAAAACAAAAAACTTTAATTGAATTGAATACCCATTTTTCTTACTTTATCACCACTTGCAACAAGTTTTAAACATTGTTAAATATTAATAGAAATATTGGTTTATCGCACGAAGATGCAGATGATTCATCGCCACGTCGAAAGTCGCGTTTTCGTAACTATATAAAGAAAATTTTCAACACTCTACGATGCAAAACGCACTCATTTTCATGCGTAAATGAAGAATGGTTCATGCGTACGCATTCATCGGCCGTTTTCATAAAACGACGATTTTTCAATAAACCCCCCAATTTTATTACTTTCTTATCGAATACGCAAATCTTTCATCGCTTTCATTCGCATTAAAATGTTTAAAAGTTTCAAAAAAAACTGAAAAAATCGTTGAAAATAATTTCTTTTAAAATTGGGGCAAAATGGTTTTATTTACATTATTGATTTATTTTCAATGTGAAATAGAAAATTTGCAAATAGTTTAGTTTAGTTAACTGAATAAATAATAATTTTAAAATAAAGTAAAGATTATTGAAATTTTTTAAGAATTGTAAAAAAAGTAATCTTCAAAATTTATACGTGGGGTCTAACAAAAGTTCGCTTAGTTGGCGTTAATCCATTTGTTTCTGAAAAAAACAAAAGTTGTTTCTCAATTTGTTAAAGTCCAACGATATTTCATGTCAAATTTCAAAAAGATCGGTAAGAATTGGATATAAAAAAATGGAAGATTAGTGATGTAATGTTGATAGAAATTCCACCACCAACACTGCAAAAAAAAAATTTTCCCCATTATCTACAAATTTCGACGTCAACTCAAGCTTATGGAAGTTTTCCAGGAATGCCAAAATGCATATGGACTGAATGCATCATCTCTTAAGACCATTTCCAAGTGGTTTCGAAGATTCCAAACTGGACATTTTTCCCTAACAATTCTTAGAAACATTTGAAAATGAAGAGTCTATAAATAAATAAATGGAAATTATGTTGAGAACAATGAAAACAATTTTATTTTATTGTTTTTTCCAGCCAACTAAGCTTTTGTTACACCCCACGTAAATTATTAACACAAAATGTTTACGAAATACAGATTTGTTAATTTAAGTGAGTTTGTAGTTATTAAACACGTGAATGCAAAATTAAGAAAATTCTATTTTCGTTCAATCAAAATGCTTACATTTCAAAATTTTATTTTGATTTTTATTTATTTTATGTGCATAATGCAAATTGCTCTTATGTCTACAAATATCTTAGTAGACTCTTTCTAATTTGCTTATTTGATGAAGTAACTAACATTCATGGTTATAAAGTAATAACGTAAAACGTAACATAAAAAAATAAATAATTTCGTTGAAGTAATTTATGATTAATATATCAACTGTGATGTAATACACAAAGAGCAGTTGATCCAGGTTGGCTGGGTATCGAATATGTAATTCTTTGAGGATTAATTCCGGGATTCGATTTCCCTTCCGTTGAAATCCATCAACTAAAGAACAAGAGAGAACGAGGGCGGATAAGTTTTGTAATTTAATGTTGAAAAATGAACAATTCTTAAAATAATATTTTGATCTTTTATAATATTTCGAATTTATAATTAGAAACAAAATACACTAATTTTCGTGCCCATATGTGCATTTGTTTTTGCACCTGCAGCTGAGTCACCGCGACGTCGAGACCAGATGCGTTTTCGTGCCCAAATAAGCGTACGCAGCCACCGATGATCCACCGTGACGCAAACATCGTGCGTTTTCGTAACCAAAAACGACGATTTTTCAATTTTTGTTACTTTCTTATCGATTGCGAAAATGCTTCACCGCTTACATTTACAATTACAATATTTACAAATTTAAAAAAAAATTATTAAAAAACGTCAAAAATTAATTTGGAAAACATCGGGTGGATGCGCAGGATAACAAACGATTCCAATTTGTAAAATACGTTTTAATCATAATTAATTATCAATTAAAAACGTTTTACTCTTACTAAGTTTTCCATTTAGAAGAAAGTAATTAACTAATTAATTTAATACAAATACTTTTGTTTTTATATACTAAATCTATGTAATAAAATAACTGAATGTGTGTAAAATATACTTTGAGAAAATTGAAAGAAAAAGGTGATAATACGAATGGGTTATTGTCGCATGAAAAGTTTACTCACTGGGTAAAAACTTCACTGTTTAGACGCAGAGTTTTGAAAATGTATATGTACAGGGTGGCCCAATTGAACTTAAAACTGCTATAACTTTTGAACCGTTGACAATGTTGTGTCCATATTTTGCCTCCTAATGATAGCCGATAAGACTGCGGAAGCATTTGCATCTCAGTTTTTTGAAAAAAAAAAGTTATTAGTGATGGAATTCAAACGTATATAGTGTGATAGCCCAATATTT